TTTTAAAAAATCACTTTAACTTTACTTGTATGATTAGAAATCAGTAGTCTTCAAATCCATTGATTAGTACTGCAATGACTGCCCTGATCTGGTTGTAGCTGTCCCGGGTCAGTGGACCAGTGTCCCAGTGACCCACCGTCCCAGTGTTTGTTGTAGAAGTAGATACATGTAATATACATAATGCAAGCAATCAAGTGTCCCGGGTCAGTGGGCCAGTGTCCCAGTGACCCACCGTCCCAGTAGTGTTTGTTGTAGAGGCAGATACATTATATCATGTACACCATGCAAAGAAGCAAAGGAAAGTAATAAATCCCTGTTTTTTGTGATATAGAATGATAATAACATATTCAGCACCAGAGAGAAAATTTGTCTAGGAGGAAAAATACAATCAAAGACTGGTGAGTTTGATGCCTTGCAACACCAAGAAAACAGCCAAGAAATACTTTACCTTGAATCCATATTGCGCTCGCCAAAGATACAAAATGGAAAGGAATACAGAGGATAAAAACTTTTCTCGTCCACAATCGACCCTCAGCTCAAAGTGCGCGAACTTGTAACAAGATATGCAAACATTAGCCACTGACGTAAACAGCGCTTTGACACAAAACAGGCATGAGTTGATAGTCAAAAATAAGTAAAAGTGCTCTCCTTAATATTGCACATCAATTACCGAAATTACATTTATTTGATTTTTGAACATGAGTTACTAGAATGGAAATAAATGCGTTGTAGTTCTATAGAGAAAAATTACAAATGACGGCCTTTATGACATTCAATCCCCGGAAATGACCTCATTTACTAGTATCGAGTTCATCGGTTATGGATCCATTCTTTGCAGTTCATAAAATACTGGTGGGGATTGCTCTGGAAATAAGGAAAGGTAAAAGCCTGTTCTTAAAGCAATTCAGTTCCTGTTTCAAAAGTGAAATCTGATAAAAGATTTACTGGCCGTCTTGTACCGCCGCTCCCGTGATGGAAAAAACTAGAGGTAATCAACATTTTTCACAGCCTTTGTTTTTTTTTTGTTCGACTCGACACTGAAATACAATGTTAGCATCAAGAACTTCGCCATAATTTCAATCGACATGTGTCGTTTATGGGTTATTGTTTATCATTTCGGACGGTCGATTTGTGTACCGCGGTTCGACGCCACTGATTGCCAAATTCCACTTTGACTGTAATTCGAAATTTCTGCTGAATGGCGCATAGAATTCTCTTGAAATTAAAGGAGGTAAAATATCAATTATGTATTTTCTAAATACTAGAGAAAAATACTGCTAGATTAATCTCTGAATGTCCAATTTTTCAAAACAAAATTCAAATTTGGCGCTTTTCGACTGATACACCAATCACATTCTGTTCTATAATTGGATTTACTCTATCAGCGTAACGGACGCTATTGCCGCCGTCTATTGTTCTCTTGCCTGCTTCTTAAGTAGTCTCTTTTAACAGCCGCGACTTCCGGTCTCGTCAAATTTCCTCCCCAAAAGTAACGGCTGTTTACCCAGGCGCAAAATTCCTTTCCGATTGTTTAACAACAACCAATCAAAAGAAGAGAGAGAGGATTAAAGGCAATCAAAACGTTTTGAATTGAACCTGATAAATTTCCCGCGACTTCATTCCAGCACCCTGTTTTTAGTTACAAGTGATGTTGAGTTCGCCGAAGACGTTTATTGGAGATAATAGTAAGTGTTTTCTTTCTTTCAAAGCAAGTTTTTAAAACGGATTAAGCACACAGCGACGATAATTTCCGACGATCCCAACTTGTGATCGAAAATACATGCCAATGTTTGAAAAATTAGCGATTTTCCAAACCCAGTGGGCTGATTAACGAACACATCGACTCTATCTAGGATAAACTTGAGTATAGCATTCTTTTGATTGTCGTTTAACTCTCTGATTTTAAATTTCGCAGATGCAATAACAACTATCTTGTTTTATTATGGCGCGAACGGCTCCTGGTTTTCAGGAGCCAAGCCGTGATTGGTCAATCAAAGGGAAAGGAATGTTGGCCCTGGGTAAACAGCCGTTACTTTTGGCGAGGAAATTTGACGAGACCGGAAGTCGCGGCTGTTGATAGAGACTAGCTTCTTAAGCGGATCATTACTTAATCATACGTTTTACATTGCATTGAGCACAAAAAAACACCCTCCCCTTACATATAACAAACGACAAGGACATAAACCTAATTATACAAATATACAAAGTTCAGTACTTTCAGTCCAATGAAAAAAGAAAAAAAAACTCAAGGAACCAGCAATCGGAGGGGAAAAAAAGAAAAAATAATAGACCGTTTCATTTTGACTCCRTTTAAGTAATATTCAATTAACGATAAAGAGCGTTGTTTTTCCAATGACCGAGGTATAATCATATGGCTCTTATATTATCGTACTTTTCCAAGTGTGACTTCAGCTTGGATTTTTTCTTCGCGATGATATACTCAATTCTGTGAGTTGTGTGATCCCGTACAACCATCGTTGACATGCCTGCAAGCGGTCGTGCTTGGGGGTTCCGGTTGATGGTGGAGGGTGTCCGTTCTTTGGTGGATTTCCGGGCGTTGCTGCAGTGGGAAGTCCYTTGAGACCGAGATTAAGTAACGTCTCATAGGATAGGTACAGTGGTACAGTGGTGGTATCCTGTTTTCTTCTTCTACGGCGTCGCCTTCGGTGAACAGTGGGTGCGTCCGAATGGTGCAYGGCGGAAATTTGAGAGATTGGCCCTGACTCAATCGCGTGGACATTAGGGAACTTCAGATTTGACAACGAGTACGAGTTTTAAAATTGGCCTTAAGTATGCTATTAATCATAGTAGCGAGTAGATTGAAAGATCAAAGAAATAAAAACATGAAGTGGATTGAAATCCAGTATGGACAACACAACAGAAAGCTGGTTTGAAAACTCGTACTCGTACTCAATCTCGTACTCGTTGCCAAATCTGAAGTTCCCTATTGGCTTKTTGTGGGCGGTTCTTCCGTCTCCGGGCTCTGTAACAATCAATAGACTGATTTAGCATCAGGACGGCGACTTCCAAGAGGACGTGACGGCGCGCGGCATAGACTGGAACGAGTACGTGAATACGTTATGACGTGACGTGACTCCTTCGTGACTTAGCAAACAAAAACAAGACGGCTACTTCGCCCACAGGTAGCCCAAGCTGTACTGTGAAATCATAAAATTGAAAATATTTTGAATAAAATGTTTTGAACTTACATATGTGTTTTTTTTGTGTTTTATGTTCCTGTATGCACTTTTTTTGAGATTTTACCTTGTTATGGTCCCTAYTTAATTTAACTAGGGATGGAAATGCAAATGCATGGTAACTATATAGTATTTTCAACCAACTTTTATTCACTTTTTATACATTAAGTATATTTTTAGGCGTTTTTACCTTGTTCAACTTCAAAGTTTTCTTCACGACGCGAAACTGCTACAAACGCCGTCCTGAACGTGYTGTCCGAGACGTCGCCTCAAAAACCGGAAGTGAAAAATAGCTCGTTCCAGTCTATGCCGCGCGTCGTCACGACCTCTTCGAAGTCGTCGTCCTGATGCTAAATCAGTCTAATGCAGACTTGATGCGGTTTCGTGTTCCATCCCCTAGCTCCTTCGGTGAAAACTTTAAACAATCCTTTGCAGTCAGGACATTTGGCCTCTCGGGCTTTATCCACGGCAGGGGGTGTGTCTTCGGGGGTCGGCTGTGTCTTTTTGAGCCGTTGAAAGGCTGAGAGTGCCGATAGGTTTGCTGACGGTAACGCGTTTCGCACCATTTCTTTCTGCTCTACCAGCGCTATGACATCATTGACGGGCTTGTCCAGAATGTTCATCGTTCCAAGGATTTCACGACGTAWGTCGGAATCGTAGATGCCGTTCAGTAGCACGTCACGTATGATGTGGTCGGTGCAGTCCAGGGTCTTGCCGCACTCGCAGGCAAGCGAAATACTTCCCATCTGCGCATAAATATATTCCATTCTTCTATGGATACACCGACATAGATTTTTGGCCTGTCGAGTTTTGGGCCTTTCGACGCTTGGGGCTGGGACGCTGTGGGATTTTTTGGTTGTCCTTGGTGAGCTAACCCATGATTTCCCAGTAGAGCGATGGCTAGTGCCTCTGTAACGTCTTCTGTCGTGAAGGTGCAATTCGGTACGGAGCATGTAACGATCACCATGACTTTATCATGTAGGAATGTTCCTCGATGCAAGAAACAATTTATTATCGCGCAATGCAGCGATGATAAAGTCCTACGATACAAATCGTGACAAAACGATAATATAAACACGACTTTACAAGTAATAACGGAACCAAATACAAGATATATAGTAGAACAATACGAAGTAGATATAAACTGACTTACAATAATAAGGTTAGAAGTCTATTGAATCACGACGTGGACAGAAGAAGTAATGTATAACGTAGCTATAACGATTAGCAATAACAATTCGACAAAATGGCCGACTCGCTTGAGCCGGTCAGCGGTCTTATTAGATACCAGGCTCTAGTGGCCAAAGTCAGTGTCTCTTCACTTGTGGCTAAACTGCTCAACAGTATTAGCAAACGATCGACCGAGAGCTAATAAACCTGGCTACGAAGTCAATCAAAATTTAATAGCCTGAACAGCTGACCTTGAAGTGACCTTCGGCGGCCACAAAAKCTCTTGAAGATTTCTCCGCAACTATCTAGCTCTTTTACTTCATCTTCTAGTCCTTTATATCTTTCGCAATTTAGACACTAGGCCTAAAGCTCTGATTGCTGATCGTCGATGAATCAAATGAATGTTTGTAGGCGATAAAACAAGGACGTGGCGACTCGATTAAGTTACAGCGTCAAAAGAGTCAAACACGAAGCGAAAACCGTTGAAAGATCAGACATTTACCATAATCCATTAGTAGTTTAAGAAGTCTTTCTTTTTTCTTCATTTAAA